TGCTGCTTGCTGCTGCTGCTGCTGCATTTATTAACGACAGGCTTTATGCAAATTGCTTTGCTTAGGGCTACATTTTGGAGTTTAAACACACAGCTGCTGCTGCTGCTGCTGCTGCATTTATTAGCGACATGTTGTATGGAAACTGTTTTGCTTAGGGCTGCATTTTAGGGTTTAAGCACACAATTGCTGCTGCTGCTGCTGCTGCATTTGTGAGCGTGTCTCTAGACAGGCGTGGAGTGTATCTGCAGCAATAGGGAAGACAGCAGCAGCTGCTGCTGCTGCTTGTGTCTGGTGCAACTGCTGCTGCTGCCGCTATAGCCAATGCTGCTGCTGCACTGGGGCAGCAGCATGATAGTTGCTGCTGCTGCTTTCGTTGCAGTGTTCGGAAGCAACGCTCATCCTGCTACTGCATCTGCTGCTGGCCCTGCTGCTGCATCTGCTGCTGGCCCTGCTGCTGCATCTGCTGCTGCATCTGCTGCTGCATCTGCTGCTGCATTTGCTGCTCGCCTTGCTGCTTGCTGCTGCTCTAGCGGCTGCTGCTGCTGCTGCTTCTTTATCTGCCATAAGCAGCGCAGCAATCTTCATTGTTAGGGACTGGGCGGAGGCCTCTCCAGTAGCAAATTCTTCTTGAAGCTGCTGCTGCTGCTGCTGCTGCAGCGCGAAGCAGCAGCAGAGAGCAAAGAAGAGCCTTCTGCTGCTGATGCTATCTAGCCCCAGGTACTGCAGCGGCTGCTGCTGCAGCAGCAGCGCATTAGGAGGTAAGTGCTGCTTGCAAAGTATATACACCTGACAGCGAATCGCTTCAATCTCTTCTTCGCCACCCAACCTCTTTTGCCTCCTCTGTCTCTCGAAAGGCAGCAGCTGAGACAAGTCTTCTGCTGCAGCAGGAGGCAAGCGGTGCTGCACATGCACGCGCTCCTGCTGCTGCTTCTGCAGCTGCTGCTGCTGCTGTCGCCGCAACAGCGCGTTCGAGAGAACTGAAACCACCAGGCTCTCCATCGTCACGCTGCTGCAGCTGCTGTTGCTGCAGCTGCTGTTGCTGCTGCTGCTGTTGCTGCTGCTGCTGTTGCTACTGCTGCTGTTGCTGCTGCTGCTGCTGCTGCTGTCAAGGGGCGCGAGGTTCTCAAGGGCACAGCAGCAGTCTGCATGCGGTGGGTTGGGGTCCAGCAGCACTTCGTTGCTGCTGCAGCAAGGCTCTCCCGCGGGGTGTACGTACACCTCGCGAGCTATGAGTCCTTTAGCAGCAGCAGCAGCAGCAACTGCAGCAAGAGCAGCATGCAAGGCAGAGCGCCCTACAGGCAGCGGCAGATGCTCAAGCAGTTGCTGACAGCAAGGGTGGGTCGCCTTGTCTGCTTCTGCTGTTGCTGCTGCTGCTGCTGCATTTGCTTCTGCTGCTGCTGCACTTGCTTCTGCTGCTGCTGCGCTTGCTGCTGCTGCTGCTGCACTTGCTCCTGCTGCTGCTGCATTTGCTGCTGCGGCTGCTGCACTTGCTTGTGCCACTGCGGTTCTCTTAGTCTGTGGCACTAGGGATTCTGTTTTGTTCTGTTGTGCTGCCGCTGCTGCTTCTGCTGCTGCTGCTTCACCTGGCGTTGCTGTTGCTGCTGTTGCTGTTGCTGTTGTTGCTGCTGCTGCTGAAGTGGGCAGCTCATCGGGCGCCTCGTCTGTATTTCCCCCAGCAGCAAAACCAGCATGCCTCAGCGGCGTCTGCCAAGCAGCAGCAGAACCAGCAGCAGCAGCAGCAGCAGCAGCGGCTGCTTCTGCTGCTTCTGCTGCTGCTTCTGCTTCTTCTTCAGAAGGTGCTGCTGCGGGGGCTCGTCTATAGCTCACTGACAGCCAAAAGCGAAGGCTGCTGCCCATGCGGTGTCTCTGCAGCTCCTGCAGCAGGTTTTGCGCATGTCTTGCTCGTTCAAGATAATACCACCCGCTGCTGCTGTGGCTGCTGCTGCTGTTGCTGCTTTGGTGCTCACAGTCTTCTTCGTCAACAAGAAATACTGCAGCACGCACAGGCGGAAGCCGCGGCAGCAGCAACACTTCATCGAGCGCTGCAGCAATTGCTGCTCCTGAAGCGCAGCTGCAATGAATGGGGAGAATGCCTCCCCTCCGCTGCTGCTGCTGCTGCTGCTGCTTCTGCTGCTGCTGCTGCTGGTCATGCTGCAGCAGCAATGCAGCACCTTCTTCTGTCATTAACTCGGCTGGCAGCTGCAGCAAAGGGGTCAGCAGCACGACATGGGATACCCCTTCTCCCAGCAACCAGCGGCAAGCAGCTACCGCTACGCTGCTGCTGCTGCTGCTGCTTATGGCTGCTGCGTCTACAAGCAGCACAGTGCATGCACCCTCAGACTCCCAACCCCGCAGGGCAGCAGCAGATGACAGCGCCCAGTGCGGCAGCTCTTCCAGCTGCGGCAGCTCTCCTTGCTGCTGCTGCTGCTGCTCTCCTTGATGCTGTTGCGCTTCTCCCTGCTGCTGCTCTCCCTGCTGCTGTTTCCCTCCTCCCTGCTGCTGCTCTCCTTGCTGCTGCTGCTGCTCCGTATCCTCCCGATGCTGCTGCTCCTTTTGCTGCTGCTGCGGCTGCTGCTGCTGCTGCGATGCCACCTGGAGGGCAGCAGGCTCAGGAGAAGCAGCAGGAGAAGCGGGAGCATCAGCATCAGCAGAAGCAGCAGGCACAGCAGCAGCAGGAGCAGCAAGACAACGAGGGATGTTGTCTAGAGACAAGACAACGTCGCCAACTCGGCCTTCATCTGCCAGCAGCTCGTATGCTTCTGCTGCTGCTGCTGCTGCTGCTGAGTCCTGCTGCGAAACGCGCAGCAGCGCAGCGGGAGCTTGAGGGGCCCAGTCTTGCTGCAGCAGCTCTCCAGACTTTCGGCACCAATCTGAAAGACCAGGCTCTGCTGCTGCTGCTGCTGCCGGTGCTGCTGCTGCTACTGGGTCTTCTGCTGCTGCTGCTGCTGCAAGATGCATTTCGATCTGCTGCTGCCGCTTCAAGAAAGACGAAAAAGAGATGGATGCACAGTGCGCGTCGGGGCGGTGCTCTTGCAGCAGCTGGTGCAGCAGCAGCTCTTCAAAGCCGAGCTGCAGCAGCTGCCCACCGAGAGACAGCTGCTGCAGCGGCAGCTCATTTGGGTCAACTGATTGCGTATACACCATAACGTCTACTTCTTGCTGCAGAAGCACCTCCTGTTGCTGATGCTGCTGGTGCTGCTGCTGCTGCTGTTGCTTGAGAGGAGGAGGCAGCAACAACGGCTCCTGCACGCCTACTTGCTGCAGCAGGAGCTGCTGCTGCATCGAACGGCAGGCAGCAGCAACAGCAGCACCTCGTGCTACGCAATACTGCGCCAGCAGCAACCCCGCGCCTGCTGCTGCACCGTGGATGTACAGCCTAAGTTGTGGAGACACCTCAATCCCTGCTGTTGCGAGGTGCTGCAGCAGCTGCTGCAGCAGCACCAAGTCTAGCTGCAAAGTGCATGCGCCCTCAAAAGAAAACTGAGGGTTTATAAGGGCTAGCGAAGTTGGTAGAGTCAATACGTAGCTGCCTATACACCCGGTTGCCACCCCACACACTGCAGCACCCACTGGAAACGCCTCCTCCTCGTGGTGATGCTGCTGTTGCTGCTGCTCTCCATGCTGCTGCTGCTGCAGCGCGGACTTCAAGAAGGAGGGAGGGCAGCAAACAACACCCGCAAAACGCAGCCCCAAGGAACCTGCAGCAACAAGCAAGACACGCGCTGCTTTCGTGCAGCAGCAGCAGCAACAACGGCAGCAGCAGCAGCGCCTGCTGCCTCTGCTGCTCTTGTTGCTGCTCCTTCAAGAAGCAGCACCGCCCTCAGCAAGAGGCACGTCGCGTCACACACAGCAGCAGAGGCGAGAGCAGCGGCGCAGCAGCAATACCAGCAGGAGCAGCAACAGCAGCAACAGGAGCAGCAGCAGCCACAGCAGCAGCCACAGCAGCAGCCACAGCAGCAGCAAGAGCTGCAGCAAGAGGAAAATAAGCAGCACCACCACGTGCAGCCGCGGCAACAGCACTATCAGCATCAGCAGCACCAGCAGCAGCAGCACCAGCAGCAGTACCAGCAGTAGCAGCAGCAACACCAGCAGCAGCAGTTCAGCAGCAGCTCACGTGTCTCTCCATGTGGCTGCTGCATAAGCTCAAATGTCTCTTGCGGGTGCAGTGCAGCAGCAAAGACGCGTACACAAACGAGGCCCCGGCGAGGAAGCAAGCTGCTGCTGAGTACAGAGCCCCGCACCATCTTAACACCGCTGTGTCTGTAGACGCGCTGCAGCTGCCTTTCTGCTTCAATAGCAGACAGCTGCTGCTGGTGCTGCTGCTGCTGCTCCACCTGCTGCAGCAGCAAACCAGAACCATCTGCAACAGCAAACAAATGCGTAAAACCCTCGCGACGGTGCTGCAGCACCGGGGCCCTCGGAGGCAAAGGAGAGAGACGCTGCTGTCTGTGCACCTCAACCTGAATATTTCCTGTTGCTGCTGCTGCTGCTGCTTCCGCTGCTGCTGGTGCTGAGGCCGCAGATAGCCCAGAGACTCGGAAGCAGCGGGGCCAGCCAGCAGCTGCTGCTACCGAGCGCAGCTTCTCTAGGAGCTGGTCAGCTGGCTGCTGCTGCTGCTGCTGCAGCTGCTGCTGCAGCTGCTGCTGCTCGTAGACGGCTATAGAGAAGTTGGTGGTTCGTCTGGTGCTGCTGCTGAAGTTTGCTGCTGTATCTACCAGCAGCTCCAGCAGGCCCCCTGAAGCCAAGCCTGCTGCCTCACAGCAGCACGTTGTGCTCGTGCTCCTGCAGCAACGGCTGCTGCAGCAGCTGCTGCTGTTCTTGCTGCTGTTGCTGTTCTCTGGGGGGACCTCCAGCAACAGCAAAACAGGGGGAACGTGGTGTTGTTGCTCGCCGAGGGCCTCTAAAGCCTGTAGCAGCAGCAGCAGCAGGCGATAGCCCTGTAGGAGACCTTGGAGCGTCTGCATTACCTGCTGCTGCTGCTGCTGTGCTGCTGCTGCTGTATGGGCTGGAGGAGCAACAAAGGCGCCCAGTACAATGCAGCCCCAATTCAGCTGTTTCTTCTGCTGATGCTTGTGATGGTGTTGGTGCTGCTGCTGCTGTTGCTGCTGTTGCTGCGGCTGCAACAGAAGGATAATATCTTCCTCTGAGGTGTGGGGCCCCACAACGGCGACGTGCGCACCAGAAGGCGAGAGCGACTGCTTCCAGTTTGCTGCTGTTGCTTCCGTACAGAGCAGCAGTAACGGGAGCTTCTTCCCCGCTTCTGCTGCTGTTGCTGCTGCTGCTGCAGGTGCTGTTGCTGCTGCTGCTGCTGCGGGTGCTGCTGCTGCTGCCGGTGCGGGATTTTTTGCTGGCTCGTCCGGAGGTCCCCAGAAATGGTGCGTCAATTCTGGCTGCAGGAGCTGCTGCAGCGCGTGCTGCTGCTGCTGCTGCTGTTGCTGCTGCTGCTGCTGTTGGTGAGCCGAAAGGAGAGGGAATTGTGTGTGTCTCCAGGCGATATTTGTTTGCTGCTGCTCCAGCAGCATTCTGCGGCTGCTGCTGTTGTTTCTAGAGATGACTGCGTAGGCAATCGAGCCCCCAAAGCCGAGAGCAGCAGCAACAGCTAGGGGGCCCTCCTGGGTTTTATTAGAGTGCTGTTTGCTGCTGCTAGGGTTTGCTACCCACTCTTGAAGATTAATATGAAAGGGTTTAGAAGCCATTATGATTCTGCTGCTGCTCCACTGCTGCTCTATCTCCGGCTGAAGCCGCTGCAGCAGCAAACTAGGAGGAGAGATGCAGTGCAGCAGAGACAAAGCTGCTCGCAGCAGCCCTGACAACCCGCTTGCTGCTTCGCTATGCCCCACAGAAGGCTTCATACAACCTACTACTAAACGCCGGCAGCAGCACTTGCTTATCCTGCTGCTGCTGCTGCTGCTGCTGCTGGGTTGATCCGTTGTTACCACCACATCTTCCCAGTCGCTGTCCTTTGATCTGCAGCAGCGTGCTGCTGCCGGTGTTGTTGTTGAAGTTGCTGCTGCTGCTGCTGCACTTCGGGTAACTCCTCTGCGCTTGTGCTGCTGCTTTGGCTGCTGCTGCTTTTGTTGCTCCTGCTGGAAGCGTAGACAGTTAGGACAGGGCTGGAGAGTTTGCTGCGGAGCAGCAAACACTGCAGCAATTGCTGCTGCTTCAACAGCATCCCCTAACATGGTCCCCGTAGCATGGGCCTCAAGCAAGCATATGTCTTCTGCTGCAGCATCTGCTGCATGCAACGCCTGCTGCAGCAGCTGCTGCTGCGAGAGACAGCTAGGAGCAGTGATGCTCTGAGTTCTAGCCGACTGCTGCAGCGCGGTGCCCCGCAGATAACACAGCACGTGATCCTCTCTGCTGCTGCTTCCGTTGCTGCTGCTCCTGCTGCTGTTGCTGCTGCTGCTGCTGTTGCTGCTGCTGCTGCTGATCTGTTCTAGCAGCAGCACCACAACAGCCTCTCCCCTTACACAACCATCTGCTTGACAGTCGAAGGAGCGGCAGCGGCCTGAGGGAGATAGAAGGCCAGCAGCAGCAAATGCTTTTGCTGCTGCAGCATCCAGAACCAAGTTGCTGGCCCCCACGATTGCCCACTTGCTGCTGCTGCTGCTGCTGCTGAGGTGCTGCTGCGCGATGTGCAGCGCAGCAAGCCCCGAAGCGCATGCAGCATCTATAACAAAGGAGGGCCCCACCAAATGAAACTCTCGAGACAAGCGGCAGCTAAGCAGACTCAAAGAAGAACTCGGCAGCGAAAATGAACCCCCAGCATCCACGTCCAGCACACTACGCCTGCACACAAACCCTAAACCCTAAACCCTAATCCCTAGACCCTAAACCCTTAAACTTCAACGAAGATGCTATGCTCTAAACCCTAAGTCCTAATCTGGTAAATGGAAACCCTAAACCCTAAACCCTAAACCCCTAGCTCAAAGGGGGAGCAGATAAATGCGCCTAGCATTATAAGCCTTTGGACAGGTTAACTGGTGCTTCTGCAGCAGCAGCTGCTGCTGCTGTGGGCATTAGTGTTACTGCTGCAACAGCAGCGTCTGCAGCTGCTGTTGCTGCTGCTGTGGCAGCAGCAGTTCCGCTGCTGCTGCTGCTGCTGCTGCTTCATGCGTACCAGTCTACTGAACTGCAGCCGATGAACACCGCTGTGTCTTCCCCTATTTCTTCGACTGCACTGTGGTGGTGCTGCTGCAGGTGCTGCTGCTGCAGCAGCTGCCTTTTGAAAGTGAGGCCGGCCACATCAATTGCCTCGTAAGTTGTCTCCAGCAGCAGCCGCTGCTGCGGGTCCATAGACGCTGCCTGCACCAACAGCAGCAGCAGCAACAGTAGCAATAATAGCAGCAGCAACAGCAGCAGCAGCAGCCACGACCGAAACAGAACCCGAATGCTGCGTCTTAGAAGCTGCCCCTAAAGTAGAAGCCTCAGCAGCAGCAGCAACAGTAGCAGCAGCAGCAGCACCAGTAGCAGCAGCAGCAATAACAGCAGACAACTATC